CAGCCCAACCCACCCACCCAAAAATTGGTTTGTTTTTTTTTTTTTTTGTGTGAGGGGGTGGGGCCGGGGTTGCGCCGCCCCATGGCGCTACCCGAATCCCCAATCCCCCTCCCCTCTGGCCGCCACGTGTCGTCAAAGCCACGCGGCCGCGCGGACATGTCCGCGGGGTCGGCGGTCTGGACGAGGCCGCGGACTTGGCCACGTTTGGCCGTCGCCGAGGGGGATTCATAGTAGCCAACCACCTTCACACCTTCTTCCTCCTCCATCTCCTTCACCCATCCACCATAGCCAACCATCTTCATTGTGTCCTCCTCCATCTCCTTCACCCATCCACCCTAGCCAACCACCTTCACACCTTCTTCCTTCTCCGCCTCCTTCACCCATCCACCATAACCAACCACCCTCACTCCTTATTTATCCTCCACCTCCTTCACCCATCCACCATAGACACCCACCTCCACACCTTCTTCCTCCTCCATCTCCATCACCCATCTGCCATAACCAGCCACCTACCCTCCTTCTTTCTGGTCTATCTCCTTCACTCATCCACCATAGCCAACCATCTTCGCACCTTCTTCACCCGTCCACCATAGCCGACCACCCTCACTCCTTCCGCCTCCACCTCCTTTACTATAGCCAACCACCCTCACTCCTTCCTCCTCTACCTCCTTCAGCCATCCAACATAGCCAACCACCTTCACACCTTCTTTCTCCTACACCTCCTTCACCTATCTGCCAGATTCAAATACCTTCACTCCTTCTTCCTCCTCCACCTTCTTCACCCATAGACTATAGCCGACCTCCTTCACGGCACCTTCCTCCATTACCCCAATAGCCAACCACCACCATGCTCAAGGGGATATAGGATTGGCAAGGACCCAAGATTTGAAAAGACGTGTTGAGAGAAAGGAAGGTTAGTGGACTCGACCAACACCTTGATTGCGTGAGAATGAGAAGAGGATGGCTTTGATACGATAAAGGAACAGACAATTAAACAACCAAGAGAAAAAAAAAAAAAGCATGCGGGAGGGATAATGTGTTGACCTCGAACGAAGGATTATGCTTGTCTATATTGCATCTGAGTGTGCAGGTGAGTAGTCCTTGAAGTTGCCTTCAACTGGATAACGCTCAAATATGTCGTGCAACAAAGAGGGGACGAAAGCTAAATGGGTTGTGAGCGTAATCCTCACCCATGAATGAGTTTTTATGCATGTGGCCACATTTTTTAACATGGACACGGTATGAATGGTTGATTGTCCGCATGTGGGTGGGACCCCGAAGAGACTAAGGGTGCATAGGGAAGCAATAAGACATGATGTATGATGCATGAGATAGAGAAAGTCGGTGTATAAACCGGCTAGAGGACGAAGCGGAGAGGCGTCCCTCCACCTCCATGAAGCTGCTAGATCCGACAATTAGTGAATGGATGTGTGGCCCAAGGAGGACGCTTGGTCTACGCATAAAGAAGAGAAATTATCAAAGGACCCCTTGGACTACTTGAGTATTGTAAGGAGTAATTGCTTGACAACATAACAAGGCATAAAAAAAATTGACGTTTGCAAAAGGACCAGCGAGATTACCCACCTAACGAGAAAGTTGAGCTACATTCCCAATGTCAAAGCTCTCTCGCTCCACGACCCACCCCCATCCATCTAAAAGCACTAGGTGGCGGTGACTCTGTGACGAATGGCTCCGCGCCCTGAGCATAAGCGAGGGTGGAGCCAAGCCACCTGGGACCCGCAGAAGGGTCAGCTCAGGCTCGAAAGTCTAATAGGGTGGGGCCTTACAATGGTTGGACGGGACGTTGGGGTCCTTGGGGCTCTTGGGGCCATTGGGGGCCTAAGGACCCTTGGGGGTAGGGGACCTAGGGGTGAAGAGTCTAAAGACTGACGACGGGCCGATGGGAGTGCGGGTTGTTGGTGCGGGTGTACGAGTTCCAACGACGATGATCGGTGTTGACGCTAGTGGGGGGGATGGGGGGTTGGGGGGCTGGGGATTGGTGGTGCGTGTGATGGTGTTGCGGGGACGGGCGTAGTTGACATAGGGGTCACAGTCTGACACCATTGTGGTCCACCGTGAGGGGTTGAGTGGTTGCCAACTTGCCACCGGTTGGTAACTTGGTATTGGTTGGCAGCAGACCGTTAGTAGAGGACCGTTGTGCCCGTAGCGCCCGTGTCAACAACCGCCGCCACACAAATTATGAAATTTTAAAACATACACTGATGAAGGGTAAGGCCTTTTTCTTTTTTATTTGTGTGCTAAAGATTGCACTGATCACTTCATGAATCTTTATATTAAGTATTATTAGCATATACACTCTATGTTTTTTGGTTTATTTTCCCTTGACGTCTTTGGTTCAATGCATACAGCAAGGTGGGATTTTTTTTACTTTTTTTTTTAGAAAAACTATTTCCTTTGTGCCATTCCTATTCGAATCGTTGCAAAATATACTTACTTCATTGAATTAACAATTGTGAATTGTCAATTGACAACTCCTACAAAATCACAACATGAGTGTCAGTGACCATTGACCAACACGATATTTACAAACTGAACTGTAACGAGTCTAATGACAAATAACTCATCAAACATGTATACTGATGCAATCTCGGACTGCTCTACAATTACTTTTTAGGATGACATACTACAATTAAAAAATATAGAATAATTTATTTGAAATTTTGAATCCACTCAACATATAACAATACTCGCAAGAAACAATATGCAATATGTACAACACACCATCTCAAACAACAAAAGTTTTAAAATATGCAATAGTCAACCCAATGTCGGATCCCAACTTGTCATGCTCTGTCGACAAAGAGTTAGTCATGGGTTTTAGACTCAGCCTCAGCCAGGGTTAGTCATGCGTCAAAGGCTCTACACTAGTCTGTGACTCTAGAATATCCACACAATATCATACATCGATAAACTCATCACGAATGAATGCCCAACGCCAAAATCCTAAAGGCTGCATCTAAATACCCGCTTAAAACAACTCTCTCTCTCTCTCTCTCTCTCTCTCTCTCTCTCTCTCTCTCTCTCTCTCTCTCTCTNCTCTCTCTCTCTCTCTCTCTCTCTCTCTCTCTCTCTCTCTCTCTCTCTCTCTCTCTCTCCGGAGATACCGTATCCGAATGATGAAGTTTGTCTCTGCAGTCTTTAGGCCTCCATTGTGTGTAGCAGTGAACGCGCCTGAGCTTGCCGATGAATGGGTGGTATTATGAGCGACTGTGTGCCCTGGCCATGTGACCCGAGTCTTGTCCCCTATCTAACCTGTCGCCCTCCTCCATCATCTTTGTCCGCGGCCCGTAATATCGGTAGGTAATCCGAGTCCCCCAGATCATATGTGTCTGTAGTCTCGCTGACGACGATATCGTTGCTGTCATCGTGGACGATAAGTACACTATCGGGTCTCTTTTCACATGACCCTGCCCCCTCTTTGCCAAGGTGGTCGTCCATCACTGCAACTGTGCCGGCTTGATGCACACTATCTGATCTCCGAATGTTGCCTCCTATTCCTCCTATAGTCCTCCCTCCATTATCCAATGCACCGCTCTCTGGTACAATTTCTCCATCCTCCACATGTGCAAGGTCGGAAGGCCCTGGATGGAGACGCATATGCGGCGACGATCTCCTTGCCCCGGCCTTCTTCCTTGCCCGGGAAAGACTCTCGCCTTCACGACCCTCGTGAATGTGACACCCGACGTCTTCGTCGGCAAAGTACTCTCATGTCGGTCCTCGTACTCTCTTATGGCGTTATGGGGAGCACCACCAACAGTCCCAAAAGATCGTGTGCTCATAAATG